AGATGCTCAACCTCTCGCTGCACTACAGCAGCGCGCTGCAGGAGAAGGAGCTGGCCAGCACGCGCTGCCGCGGCCTGCAGGAGGAGGTGCTGCTGCGCCGCCCGCCTCGCACTCACCCCCGGCCCACCCAGAGCGCCCTGCCCGCCAGCCTTGGCTGAGGCGCCCCTGCAGGAAGCTGACCCCTCGCCTCCACCACCGGGGGCCCCTCCCGTCACCCACCTGCAAGGAGCCTGCCCTGTGACTCCCCAAGGCCTGGCTGGGTGCCGTGCCCACGGGGGGGAGGCCTGCCCGCCTATGTCTGGGGCCCGGGGCAGGTCTGGCTGTTCTGAGCTCCGCAGTCGTCCCCCTAGGCCTCATCCCTCCAGCTGTGGGTGTGCGGTACTCGAACCCCAACCATGTCTTGTACTCACGTTTCTGTGGGGGATTATTATCTTAGTGATTTGTAGGTTCTTTAAATATTCATGTGCTTTCTGCCTTGATGGCATTGGCTTTTCTTTTGTTGTTGTTAACTCTTAGCTGAGGATATTTTTTCATTGTTTTTTTCTAGGGAGAGTGGAAGGGAGGGAGCAAATGAAGGGGGGCAGAGAAAGAGAGGGAGAGGGAGAAAAACATCAATGTGAGAGAGACACATGGATCGGTTGCCTCCTACATGCGCCCTGATGGGGGCCGAAAATTGAACCTGCAAAGGTGCAGGCTGGGAACCAAACACCCAACCCTTTGGTGCATGGGCCGGTGCTCTAATCACTGAGCCACACCAGCCAGGTCACTTTTCTTTCATTTTATTTGGAAATAATTTCAAATTTATTTTAAACAATACAGTGGCGCAGAGGACACCCACACACATTACTTTGTCATTCAGGAGCTGCAGCACCAGAGGCTGTCTGCCTCCTGCGAGCGGGCGTTCCGAGAGCGGTCCCTACAGATGGCTGACGGCCTGGAGCCCGGAGCGGAGGAGCTGAGCCGCTTGAAGGAGGAGAACGAGAAGCTCCGCTCCCTGACGTTCAGCCTGGTAGGCCCGGCCCGGCCCACTTCTCCCCGTGCCCCGAGGCTGGGCTTCTGACGCCCCCGGGGAGGGAGGCTAGGGGCCCGGGAATGGAAACAGTGACAGCTCGCCTGCCCAGCCCCGGCGCTGGCGGGATTGGTGGGACGTCACTCGGCTGAGCTGCCTCGGAGAGGACTGGGCTGGTTACAAGTGGTGGGGTTCACTTCAAAGTTGGGGGACAGGGAAGGAAACCTGTCTGCCTGCAGAATGCGCTGCATTGGAGAGTGGGGAGCTCTGGATGCAGGGTCAGGGACCCCAGCGCCCGGAATTGGGCAGCCCCTCAGCCCTTCCCAGTTCTTTGACTCAATAATTACCTGCTTTTGAGCTGTTCTTCGGGAGATGCCTGCTCGGCACAGAGCTCGCCATCCTGGTTCCGGCCTCCTCCCAGCCCCCCCCCACCCCCCCCGCACCTGCAGAGTGGGCCCCAGGAGTCCTGTGTTGCTGGGTCCCTCTCGGTAGCTCCCCTGCAAGTGCCTAAAGCAGGAGACTCTGCCCTGAGAGGCCTGGGCCTCCAGCACCTTCCAGCCCTGCCAGCCACGCCCAGCAGAGCCCAAGGGCAGCTTCCTCCCCCACCCCAACCCCCAGGCCTCTGTTCGGCCTCCTGGGCAGGAATGTCACTCACCCACCTGCCAGCAGCCTCCAGCTCCCGTTCCTGGGACAAGCTTCCCAGGGGCAGGCCTGTGGGAGCAGGCCGGCTGACCCCGCTGTGCCCCAGGCGGAGAAGGACATCCTGGAGCAGAGCCTGGATGAGGCCCTGGAGAGCAAGCAGGAGATGGTGGACCGCATCCACTCGCTGAGGGAGCGGGCCGTGGCCGCCGAGCGGCAGCGGAAGCAGGTGACCGCGGGCTTCGTGCTGGGGAGACGGGCTTTTCAGTCCGTGCTGAGCTTAAGACCAAGTTTGCCTAAGTAACGGGCCACTCGTTAGCTTATTCCTGGGTCAAAGCTGTGTTAGCACCAACTCACAGTCCACGGCCAGCGGTGGGTGACGAGCAAACAGGTCCGGCACATAGGCGGTGAGGACAAGGGCACGTGCAGGTCCAGGTGCATGGGGCCCGGTGAGAGCCGGGGGTTTGTTGAGTGGCTGCAAATGGTGAGGGGATGGTGGGGAGACGGCCGGTGGATGAGCATGCGCAGGGGAGAGGCATTACCTCTGCGCCCTGCTCTGGGCACGGGATGGACAAAACAGCCACGCGCAGCGCCCACGCGGATCTGGTGGGCACAGCTTCTCTGCGGTGCTCCTGTGAATCGCACTCGGGAGCGCGCAAGCTCACCCTGTCCCTGAGCTCAGTTACATAGATTTTCCCTCACCAAGGCTGATCTGGCTGCTATTGCTGAGGGTCCAACATGTCAACATGTCAACAACAGAGACCAAAGCTGAGCTCCCAATATGGCAACATTCCCTAGGAGGACCAGCCAGCCCCGTCCCCCACGGCTCTCACCCCTTGGCCCAGTTCTGGGAAGAGAAGGAGCAGACGCTGCTGCAGTTCCAGAAGACCAGGGTGGACTGCGAGATCTACAGGGAGAAGGTGACCGCCCTGCAGGGCCAGGTGGCTGAGCTGCAGAAGGAGCGGGACCAGGTACTGGAGAGGCGGCAGGGCCGGGAGAACAGGAGCTGCCAGCAGCTGAGGGCTGGGGGCTGGCGGCCTTGTGCCGCCCGCCCTGCCCTCCGTGACAGCTGCTTCCAGACTTGGGGTCTCCCTCCTTGGTCCAGGCGGTTTCTCAACTCCCTCCATTGTCACCTGCTGACGTGCTCACTGTCTGAGACTAGAGGTCACGTCTAGGGCCTCCCTTCATTCTGTGTGCACTCGGGGCGGTGGTACACCCACACACGTGACACGATTGTGAACCGTGGCATGTGCCTGCGGGTGAGCCAGTGTTCGCCGCCCCCTCATGCCCCGGGCGCCCTGTGTCCCGGCCCGCAGGCCTACGCGGCCCGAGACGCCGCCCAGGTGGAGATTGCCCAGAGCCTGGCCGAGAAGGACGCACTCCGCCGGAAGGTGTTCGAGCTCACTGACCAGGGCTGTGAACTGCGCCAGCAGCTCCACCAGCTGCAGGCCGAGTCGGCACACGGGGTGAGTCCTGCCCTGCCGTGCGCCTGGGAGCAGGGGCAGCGTGTGCGTGGTAGGGAGGGGGCCGGTGGGGGGCAAGCTGGGCCCCATGCATGAGCCCTGGTGGTGGGCACTGGAGATGAACAGTGGGCAGCTGGGGTTGCTCTACTCTCCCTCCATGATGATGCCATGCACGTCCTGGAAGGGGTGGCCCGGCAGAAGGTTCTGGAACCTGTCGGGTGTGGTGTTGGCTGAGGAAAGAAAGACGAAGCTGAGCTAAAATGACTATAAAAGCCCTAGTTACAGTCTGGCTGGCAGCTCCCGTCCAGGTACCTGTTGTACAGGCAGGGCCCTGTCCTCTGAGTGCACAGCCCAGCCCTTCCTCCTCACCCTCACACATCAGCCACGTGCAAAACACATGTATGCGTAGGGCAGACTGACGGGCAGGCACACACTGCTGACTGCGGGCCTGTGTGTTGGAGGGTGGGTGAATTTCTCTTTTCTGATTGGTCTGCCCCCCCCCCCATTTTCCACGTGCAGTGTGTGTAGACCCATGTATACACATTATGTACCAGGTGTGTAACCAGGAAAGAACTGTGTGCACAGGGGTGGGGAACGCCCAGCCCATATAAGGCCCACAAAATCATTTGTCTGGCCCTACCAAGGCATTAGGGGTGAGTTAATTAAATGTTTGATCAAATAAAGCAGGCTAATTTTAAAAAATGTTTTCTTTTTAAAATCCTATATAATAGGGTAATATGCAAATTAGGTGGAATGACTAGAATGACCACCCGACCAGTCACTATGAGGCGCACTGACCATTTTTTAGAGAGAGAGAAAGGGAGAATGAAAGAGAGAAACATCAATGTGAGAGCTGAACATTGATGGGCTACCTCCTATATGCCCCCTATTGGGGATTGAGGCTGCAACCTGGGCTTGTGCCCTGACCAGGAAGTGAACCGTGACCTTCTGGTTCATAGATTGATGCTCAGTCATTGAGCCACACCTGCTGGGCACGGGCTAATTTTTAAGCTGATAATTTTGTATGGCCCGTGAATGATGGTATACAGATCCAAATGGGCCTTGGCAGAAAAAAGGTTCCCACCCCTGACGTATACCCTCGACTAGAAATGCAGTGCCGCCCCCCAAGCCCAGTGCTCTGCGTCCTGGTGGCCAGCCGGGGGTCCCAGGCTGGGAGGAGACGGACCCAGACTAGAAGCCATGAGAGGGTGGAGCTGGGGGTGGTGCCTGGGTAGAAACCCCGAGAGCATCGGAGGGGACCCTTTCCTGAATTAACCAGCCCGTCTGGCGCCTTTGCAGCCCAAGCAGGAGGCGGGGCCGAGGGAGCCCTGGCGGAGGGGGAAGCAGCGGCTGGTGCGCATGTTCGCCATCTGCCCGCGGGACGACGGTGACGGCAGCTGCCTGAGCTCCTCCGAGGTACAGCCGTGCCCTCCGCTCCTGGGGACAGGCCAGTGCGGACGGAAGGGCCCGGCGCCTAGGAGGTGCTGAAGGGAGACCTCAGTGGACCCGGGGCTGCATCCAGGCCCTCACTGTCCACCTGGCATCCTGTGCCCCCCTCAACACCTTGCACAGCCCACCCATCAGCATGTGACCCTCACCAGCCAGTCCCCTGGTCTCTCGGCCTCGATCACTTTCTATGTAAAGTAGGGAGATTATTTTTTATATTTATTATGAGGACTAAACAACATAAAATACAGGAAACAGCTAATTGAGTGCTGGCACATAGTAGGTGCTCAACGAATGTGCCCTGGCTGTGAGCTCCCCCTCCCCTCCCTGTCCCCTCTTCGGCCCTGATATTGGTGGCCGTGGCTTATTCCCTTCCCAGAGCAGGGAGGGTCGTGAGCCCATGAGCTCGCGCTGACCCTGCCTCGCTGTCCTCCTGTCTCAGCTCTGGTCGGACCTGAGCGCCACGCCCAGCCGCGAGCTGGTGGACAGCTTCCGCTCCAGCAGCCCCGTGCCCCCCAGCCAGCTGTCCCTGTACAAGCGAGCCGCCGAGGACTTCCGGGAGGATGCTTGGTCCTTCAGGTAGAGAGGACGGCATCAGTGCCGGATGACACGGGTTTCCTGCTGGCTCACCGGGGACGAGGGCCGGGCAGGCGCTGGGTGCTCCAGTCCCAAGCCGTCCTCCCCTTCCTCCGCGCAGTGGCTTCTCAGAAATCCTGGAGGGGGACTGGGGAGGCTGCCCGGGAGCGAAGGCGGGTGACGTCGACCTGGATTACGAGATTGTAGACAGAGCAGGTGAGTGTGTTCCTCTGCCAACCTCTGCAGCCGCCCACCTCCCCTGGGCTGGGCCAGGAGGGGCACGAGGACAGGTCTCCCCGGTCCCAGGCAGAGGGAGGGGAACTGGACCGCTGCCCTGACCCTGGCCCCTGGCAGTTGAGGCCGGTGCCAGCTGCTCTGTGTCCTGGGTGTCCTGTCCATTGTCACCTAGCGGTGAGGGAGTTGTCTCCATGCCCGCTCAGCCCAGATGTTCAGACAGCTGCTCCTTCTGTCCCTCCTGCTCTGGACTCAGGCTGCCAGGGACCGCACGGCTCCAGGCTGCAGTGCCCCCTCCTGCTGGCCGGGGCACCTGTGGAAGCCTCTCTCCCCTTTCCCTGTGCCTTGTATCTGTCACTTAACTGCTTCTCTCTCCTTCTCAATCGGCCTCCTTACCTTCCCACCCTGCACACCTACCCCAGTCTGGGGCTTCACACAGAGTAGGTGCTCAGCACCCTGCCTGGAATTCACCCTGTGGCCACCAGGGGGTGCACGCACCCCATGCTGGTCCACAGAGGCACCTGTGTGTTGGGGCAGTGGTCACGTGGCCAGAAACCTTACCGGTCCCGGATCACTGGTGGTTTTGTGACAGTGACCAAGGGAAAGGCTCCGCCAGGGGAACCAGCTTGGCTGTGAGGCCAGGAGGACAGGGTGCTTACTGCTCCTCTTCTGTGTGATCCCACACCACGGCCCGCTTTCATGCATGCTAGTGGAATTCACCTCAGATAACGCCAGGAGCGCCCAGTGACCTCCACTTGGCTGGAATGTATTCACGAATTGGATTTCCCTGTGAGCTGGCACAGGCCGCCGTGGCAGGCGACAGGCAGCTGTCCGCCCTCTGCTGGCCTCCGGTCCACCAGGTGGAGGAGCAGCCTCTGCTGCCCACAGGGAAGCCACCGCCTGGGCTGGGCCCATCAGCCTCCCAGGCTGCCTGTCAAAGTGCAGAGCTTGGGGACCCCCAGGGACATGGAGGCCTGCGCGGCCAGCAGCTGGCGTGGCCGGGGGTAGCGGGAGCAGCGATGCAGGCGGCAGGCGCTGTCGGGCAGGAAGGCGGGCCCGGGTTCCACCGGATTTGACTGTTTGGTTGAAGGTGGAAGTGGATTCTAGCTTCCCCATCTCACAAAACATGGGCAACATTCGGTCTCACAAAGGACACAGTGGAGGCCAGACCCAGGCAGGGCAGCTCTCCGCCAGCTCCTCCCGTGTGGGGAGATGAGTCAAGGTCTCAGCAGGAGGAAGGAGGAGGACAGGTCAGCCTCAGCTGAGGTGGCTGAGGGCACTGAGGCAGCGTGTGGTCTCTAGGGCGCCGGCTGGTGTCTGAGCCTTTGTTTCTGCCTAGACCTCCTGGAGTCTGAGAGTGGCCCACAGCTGATCTCCAGGGGCCTCTGCGTCTCAGCCAGGTGAGCGGAGGGGGTCCGGCCAGCAGGGGGCAGAGTGAGGGCTGTTGGCAGGCGATAGCCTTTTGAGGGTGGGATCATGGCAGGAAGGGGGCTGGGGGAGAG